AACAAGGGAAAGTGTTCAGTGCAGATCAGTGAGTAAGCACAAGCCCACCCGTGCTTACCTCGCTCCCGGTTACTAAGCACAAGCCCGCCCGTGCTTACCTCGCTCCCAGGGACTAAGCACAAGCCCCCTCATTACCTCATTACCGTATTACATGTTAAAGATGTTCAGTGAACCTGGAAGGGTTTCTTTAATGTTTTGATGCACAGAAAGGTATACCGTATACCATACACTAAGATAAACATTCGACTGACTGACTTCAGAAACAAACGATCCCTAACTGTTCCGACTTACATACAAATCCAATATAAAAGACCAAGTCAGGAGTGAGCTCATTAGTAACCCGACCTGACTCAGCTGGTCCCCAGCCCAGGACTCACTTGCGTTGGTCTTTCCAGCCAAAGCTCCGCTCCGGCTGGTCCCATTCCTGAGCCAACACGAAGCGCAGCTCCTGGTCGGTGGAGAAGGTGGCGAGGGAGCCGTTCACGCGCTGGCAGGTCTGCGCGGCGTCCCAGTAGTTCTCCCCACTCAGGTACACCCGGTAGCAGCTGGCCGTGCCTTCATAATGGTGCCAGCCTGTCGGGCACTTCCCTAGGAAACATGAAGGACAAAGGGGAGATGGCCCCCAAATTAGGATCTAGACTACCGAGATGAAAGGCCGTGTGCTGCAGCAGGGCAGGCACGCCTGACACCACACCCAAGACACAGGGACGAGGCGCCAGGGAGAATGTCTGGCTCCTGAGGCCACACACTTTGTAGAACTTTTCAAGTTTCTATTCAGTGATTCTTCCCACTTCTATACCCAGAGCTCACTGCCACTGAGTTGACTCTGACTCACAGCGCCGCTAGAGGACAGAGTGAGACTGCCCCAGAGGGTTTCCTAGACAACAACTTTTTTTTTTTTTTTAATTGTCATTTGGGTGAAAGTTGACAGAGCAAATTCATTTTCCATACAGCAGTTCATATACGTTTTGTTTGGTGACACTGACTGCAATTCCCCAAGATGTAACACTTTCTCCCCACAGTTACCACTTCCCATGCACTCCTGACCTCCTCTGTCTCCCTGTGCAAACACTGCCCTTCTGTTCTCCCACGACTGATCACTCCAAGGAGTGTATCTACCTGTGTAAATGTTCACCCCATAAGCCTGTCTATTGTTTGGCTGGAAGCCACGGGAGTGAGTTCAGTTCTGCACCTGAAAGGGTTCAACCCAGTGCTTACAAGCATTGTTGCCTGAATCAGCTACTACAACGAAGGCTGCCAAACAGAGACTTTCCTCTTATTCTCTCTATACTCATTAGTTGGTACTCCCCTATAAAAACAGGGTTCTCTTCCTGTTAAACTGTAGCATCTGTATAGACTCATGGAGTCTTCCTTTTATTCAGTTATAACCAGTTATTGCCATTCTAAATGTTGAGGCTTATGTTGTAAAACTGCTTTGGTCAGTGGAAACAGCCTCAAGCTGGTTGTGTGCGGTCTTCTGACCTGTCCCCATCAGTTTCTGAACATGTCTCATTTGCAGGCTCCTCTTAGGCCATTCCTGCCCTAGCCTGGAACCAGGCATTTCTCTTGGAGCCCTTGTTCCAGGGTATTTAGAAACCAAGATGTGGTGCCAGATGTGTTCATGGGTACTAGGATACTGCTGCTCTTAAGTGCCATTGAGTTAATTTTCCACTCCTGGTGACCCCCCACCCCACCCCACCCCATTAGGAGCTCTGGTGGCATAATGGATAAGGCATTTGGCTGCTAACCGGAAGGTCAGTGGTTGAAACCCACCAGCCACTCCTCGAAAGATGTTGTTGTTGTTGTTGTTGTTATGTGCCGTCGAGTTGGACCCAATTCAGAATGACCCCTCCTTGGGTTTCTGAGGCCATATCACTACAGAAGTAGATTGCCCCATCTTCCTTCCAAGGAGTGGCTGGTGGGTTTGAACCGCCAGCCTTCTGGTTGGCAGTCAAGGCTTTAGGCACTACGCTACCAGAGCTCCCCCTCAAAAGATAGGGCAATCTATTTCCACAGAGACTGACAGCCTCAGAAACCAGATGGGGGTCACTATGGGATTCGACTTGAGGGCAGTGAGTGTGGTTTTTGGTTTACTCCTTCCCAATATTGGGGTACTTCCTAATGGTGTAATGAAGATGACTCACTGTTTTTAGCAAAGTTCGCTGTACAACAAAACCACAAATTTTAACACACCTATACCCTGTGAGGGAGCTCTGGTGGCGTAGTGCCTAAGGCATTTGACTGCTAACCCAGAAGGCTGGTGGTTCAAACTCACCAGCCACTCCTTGGAAGGAAGACTGGGCAATCTAATTCCGTAGAGATACTGCTTTGGAAACCCAAGGAGGGGTCGCCATGAGTTGGATCAGACTTGACAGCAGTGAATTTGGTTTTTGGTTTGGTACACGCTGTGAACTAGTAAAACTTATTAAAGACACGTGATGACTGTTCTTTTGAGCACTTACGCATGTGCAACCTATTAACAGAAGTGCAAAGACTGTAAGAAAGACAACGGCACCTCCCGGTGCCACTGAGGCATATCCACAGCCCCGCCCACAACAGCAGAAAGCGGTACAGTGCCACCTGCTGGCAGGTAGGGTCAGGTTCAACAAAACAGAGTTGCTGGACCACTGTTTGCCTGTGGAGGAGGAGGGTGCTTGGGGATGGTCAGTGGGGAGGTGAGAGAGCTCAGAGGACTGTTTAATTAGTTTACTCTCGTTCAGAGAGCAGGGCAGGGAGTCAGAGACTCAGCACGTTTAGCGCCTATGTTCTCGGCTCTCTACACAGGGGGCTCCGTCTGTCTCCGTTCTGGGTGAGGACACGGAGTGTGGAAAAGCTGGCAACTCAGCCTGCGAGTGGCACTGGTGGGCTTCTCTCCCAGGCTCTTCACAGACGACAAACCCTCTGGTGATGGGACCGGGTGGCTAGGGGCAACGGAGGGAAGGGAAAACAGTATCTGACTGCCTCATCTGATTGATCTTTTTAATTCTGTGGAGTATTACCAGGGAGAACTATCACCTGCTTGAAGGAAAACAGATGAACAATGGAAAGACACACTCTCACATGCCTCAGCAGGGGTGCACATGCTCACGTACACTAGCAAGAGTGCAGTGCACACACATACTCCAACAGAAGTGTACACATATGTGCTCACACTCACGTACCCCAGCAGGGGTGCAAACACACAAACACGCACACGCCAACAGGGTGCACATGCACACACATATTCATGTACAGTAGTAGCAGTGGTGCATGCGTGCACCCTCATGTACCCAGGCAGGGCTGTGTATGCACTCACACTCACATACCCCAGCAGGGGTTTACACCCTCCCAATGTTGGGGTACTTCCTAATGGTATAATGACGCACGCTGATGTACGCTGGCAGAGGTTCATGCCCACGCACACAAAACCCATCCACGTACCCTGGGACGGGTGCACATGCACACATACCCATTCATATAGCCTGGCAGGGGTGAGCACACACCCCCATGTACCCCGGCAGGGGACAGCACATGTGCACACAAACTCACATACCTGGCAGGTGTGCACACGTGTGCGCATTTGCATACTTCAGCAGGGGTGCACACACTCACGTGCTTCCATCTTCCAGCAGGGGTACACATGCACATGCACACTCACATACCCCGGGGCAGGGGTGCACACACACATGCTCACGTACCCTGGCAGAGGTACGCACTCACATATACCCCAGCAGCAGTGTGCACACAGGTACATATGGACACTCATGTACCCCAGCAGGGGCACGCACACGTGCACACACACACACACTCTGGCAGGGGTGCACAGGTAGACACACTCATGTACCCTTGCAGGGGTGTGCATGCACATATGCACACACACACATGCACACCAGCAGAGGTGCACACATGTGCACATACACTTATGTACCCTGGCAAGGGTACATACAAACACATGCTCACGTTCCCCGGCAGGCATGTACACACACTCAGAGCCTATTGGTGCCAAGCTCTGTAAGGCTGACAGCTCCAACTGGGGCGGGACATGGGGCGTGGCGATAGGTAGGGAAGAACCCACCCTGCTCCCCAACTTCCCTCAACACAGCCAAAAAAACGCCCCAGGGGAGGGGCCATCAACTGAGCCTGCGTCTGAGGCAGGCTGAGCGCTCAAGGCCCGGACATGAGGGCAGGGCCTGTGTTGTGCAGTCCAGGTGGCCCACACCATGGACTGCTGAGGGGGAATGGTGAGGAGGCAGAGGGGGCCTCAGAGCTCGGTGACAGGGCTCCCACCTCTGAGCTGAGCTGATCAGCCCACTGCCCAGGGGCTTGGGGACATCTGCTTGGAGCTGCTGCAACCTCCCGCTGGCCAAACAAGAGACCGGGGACTCAAGCCTGAGTCCCTTTGCTTAAGGTGACACCCCCTTACACGCAGGGCAGGGTCTCTGTGAGCTGGAACTGACTCGTCACACCTAACCCCTAACACACACAATCCGGCATCAGAAGTGAGTGACCGCAGTGCCCTGGACTGGTTCACACATGGAGACAGAGGGCTTTCTGGCACGGCTTCGGTGAAGGCCAAAGGTGGGCACAACTGGGACAATTCACTAGAACTACTTTTCACATGTCCCTCTTGCCTGCTCAAGACATGCAAGACTTGTGATTCCTCTTTGCGTCGTGGCCAATTCCCCAAATGAAAAAAACAAACCCACGGCCACTGTGTTGATTATGACTGATAGCAACCCCCAGAGGGTTTCCAAGGCTGTTAATCTTTCTGGAAGCAAACTGCCTTGTCTTTCTCCCGTGGACCAACTGTTAGGTTCGAACCGCCAACCTTTTGGTTAGCAGCCTGATGCCTTAATCACAGCGCCATCAGAGCTCCTTAAACCAAGCAGCCTGTTTCCACATCTCTCAGAGGGAATGACCACACAGTGGGACTTGCAAAGGGCCGTGCAGTGCAGTTTATAGCGACCGTGTGAACAGCAAGTAGCCAGCCTCCAGGACCACATCAGCCCCACTCACGGCTCTGCCACTCAGCAGCTGGGTGGCCTCGGGCAGCGTGGTAGTTGAGATTATGTGTCAACTTGGCTAGACCTGGTTTTGAGTGGCTGGATGTGGTGATTCTCCATGTTGAGACTGGCCATCAAGTCCCTGGCAGAATCTACGGGAGCAGCTGCCCAGCTGCTTCAGGGACGTGGTGTGCTCCCAGCACATATGGAGAAGCACTGAGCAATGTCTCTGCAGCTTTTGGCGCGCCTGGATCCCGCATTTGGCTGAGTCACCAGTGACTTGCCTGCCGTGTTGTCTGCTATCTTGGGACTGTCTCTGGACTCGAAGCAGTGGCCTGCCGTGTTGTGTGGTGATGTTGGGACTGTGTCGTTCAATTTTTTGACCTTGGGTCTGTCAGCCTCAGCAGCCAACAGCTGTCCGAGTGAAGAAGGTCTCCAGCTCCGTGTGCCAGGCCCAAGAGGCAGGGCTGAAGCCCCAGGTCGAGGGGCCTTTACCCAGCCCCAGGAGCTGGCACACGGAGCTCGGATTTCTAGCTTCCAAAGCTGTTCAAGCCATACATCTGTGGTATCTTCTGTTAGACTGGGACTGGAGATAACCAAAACGGGTGGTTACCCACAACCTTATTCATTGAAGACAGATGGTGCTGACGCCATGAAGGACTGCTCTAGAGGACAGAGCTACCGTTTCTACGACAGCTTGTACCGCCCAGTGGCCTTGGTACGGCCACAGCCTGAGCTCAGGAAGGAAGTCTGAGGCCACACGCATGTGCTCAGCTGCCCGGAGGAGGGCAGGATGGGCAGCCAGGTCTGCAACTTACTGCTGAAGCGAACGGGCTGTGCCATGTTCACCGCGTGGAAGTGCGTGGGGTCGCCGCCCCGGGCCCGTCCCTGCCGCGGATCCACGGCCTCCTTCCCATGGTAAGGACGAGCCTCCCCGGTCACTTCTGCAACAAGAAGAGAAGCCAGTAAGCACGGCCACCCAGCAGCAAGGCCAGCACCGTGTCACAGCGCAGCCTGTTTCCAGCTGCCCGTGGCCAGAAGAGCCAGCCTCAGGGCACAGACTGCACTCAGTGAGGTTTTCAAACGCTTTTCACTTCCTTCAAATAGGTCACCAGCCCATGTTAAAACTATTTTTTTAAAAAAATCAGGACTGAAGTGCGACGCCTGGCTTATCCTCTGTACAGCCTAACTGGTTCCTGCCAACATGCCAGCGAAGTATGGCCAGTCATTCCTGCGTGAAACGTCACCAGCATGCCCAGGCACGGGAGGTGGGTCTCGGAGCTCTTTCCAGAGGCCAGCTGCTTGCCTCGGTCACCCTCCCCTCTCCCGCCTGGGACCTGCTGTGCGTGCCCTCCTCCGTGTCACTCACTCTCAAAGCCGGAGGTCCCCGTCTGGCCGCCGGACGGTTCGTCCTACCGCGCTGTGGGAGCCACAGGCCCAGGGCCAAGGTGTGCTAGCGCCAGGCCCTCAGAACGGTCAGGCCCTGTGAACAGCGGCCTCAGCGTGGGGCTGCATGGTGCGAGCAAGTCGGAGCACTCAGATCCGACAGTGGGCGCACTGGGATCTGAAGGTGGAAGCAGGCTCCAGTTTTGTGTACCGTTACCTGACAATTCACAAACTGCTGTCCCACAAACATTTTCTCCCTGGAGTCCCCAGGCCCCTTGTAACAGAATAGATCCCCTCTCCTCCCAATACTCGGAAGCCAGCCACTGCGCAAGGAAGAGGTACTGCCTCCCTGCGTCCCGACCCTGCCCACGGCCTGCGTGGGGCGCGCCTCCATCTGAGGGGCAAGGGCCCCTGCCCACGGCCTGCGTGGAGCGCGCCTCCGTCTGAGGGGCAAGGGCCCCTGCCCACGGCCTGCGTGGAGCGCGCCTCCATCTGAGGGGCAAGGGCCCACGAGGCAATGACAGAGGAAACGGCGACTCGGGGACTCCGTCTGCAGGGATGCACGTGGACGGAAAGTCAGACACTGGCGGCCATGCCCTCAGGGTACAGTGAGATAAAAGATTCTTAACTCCATCAGGCTGGCCTGTTGAGGTGGAACGTGAGGAGCCGTGGCCCCGTGTGACACGGGACTGTGTGGGCGTGGCGCGGGGACTCACAGGGTGCATTGTGGGTGGGGCCACAGCCTCCCACACAGCCTGCTCTCCTGACTCCAGCACCCCCATCAGCCTCGCTCCACTGAGGCGTCTCCAGCTGCCTGGTTCTGCCCCTTTCGTGGCCTCTGCCAATGGTTTTGTTGCCATATATATGGAGCTCTGGTGGTGTAGTGGATACAGCATTTAGCTGCTAACCAAAAAGGGCAGCCGTTCAACCCCAGCAGGTGCTCTGCAGGAGGAAGACGGGGTGATCTACTTCCGTCAAGACTTACAGCCTTGGAAACCCAGTGGGGTCGCTTTGAGTCAGAATCCATTCGATGGCACTGAGTTTGGTGTTTGTTTATATGTATACACATATCTCTATATATGATCTATTTTTCTCATTATAAAAGTAATAAATATTCAACGTAAAATTTGAAAAGAAAAAAGCATAAACTGTTCATGTTGAGGTATGCCCTTTGGTCTCTTATTTTTCTACACAAACCCTTTAAGAATACTGACTGCAAGCAAGTCACAGACCTCGAAGCTCTGGGTCTCGCCCACTAACTGAGTCCCCCGCAGGAGCGTCTGCACGGTGCTCCCTCAGGAAGGTAATGGAATCAGATGTGACTCCACTCCGAACCACGTGCTGCCAGTGTTGAAGGGAAGGTCAGGGGAAAGCAAAGACCTCCAAAAGAGAGCGCCACGGGTCCACAGTGCTTTTCAGGGGCACAGTACGTGCCTGGGCTAATTCATAGCCTCAAGATGCAACAGTGAGCACCTTCACTCATCTGTCGCTGCGGGAAGGTGGGCCGGCACTGCGCGGCCTGGTGTGGTGGCTGCTCTCCTTGAGCAGCAAGCACTCCCAAGAGCAGGGACTGGTCCGAGCTCTTGGTGGCACACACTCGGAGAACACCCAGAGTCACGCTTTCCTTCCAGGTACCAACCAGCACCGGGAGGAGACTGGCCAGTATGCCTGGCAGCTGTGACCCAGGCACGGTGCCACCCCCGCACCAGTGAACACCCACAGGCAGGAGAGGGCGCCGTTCAACAGGAGTGCTTCCCAGAGAAGGGACGATCCCACTGGGCTTCAGCATTGGCTGGATTAGAGATCGGAAGAGAAGGAGGGAGGGTCTGAGATGCAGAAGGTAACTGGTGGCATTTTGTTCTGGTTTCAGGCCCCACGCTAAGCCTCAGGAGGCATGATGTCATCTACCAAGGCCACCTGGAGAAGCAAGTAACAGCCCTGAATACAGGGGCTCAGATGGAGCTTCCTGGGTGACAACAGGGGAGAGAATAGTATGTCCCTCTTTGGGACAAGGAGGCTCCGCGCTGTCACCTCTCCCAGACCTTTCCCTATGTGTCTCTTCATTTGTATCCTTTCTGATCATATTAAAACTGTTACTGCAGTTAAGGTGTTTCCCATAAACTCGTGAGCAGTTCCAGCAAATTACAGAACCTCGAAGAGTCATCTGCAGTGATTAACAAAAGTAAATCTGTGGGTAAATAGCTGGCGGTTCAAACCCACCAGCTACTCCTCAGAAGGAAGGCTGGGTGATCTACTTCCACAGTGATACCACCTTGGAAACCCAAGGAGGGGTTGCTATGAGTCGGGTCCGACTCAATGGCAGTGTTTGTTTGCTTATTTTATGTATAAGGTAGGAGCTCTGGTGATGTAATGCCTAAGGCATTTGACTGTTAACCAGAAGGCTGGTGGTTCAAACCCACCAGCCACTCCCCAGGAGGAAGGTTGGGCAATCTACTTCTGTAGAGAGACCACCTCAGAAATCTAAGGAGGAGTCACTATGAGTTGGGTTCGACTCAATGGCAGTCAGTGAGTTTATATATAAGGTTGGCAGATGATATTTCTACATATGTATTTGTATGTGCTATTGTTGTTGTTATGTGCCGTCGAGTCAGACCCGACTCATAGCGACCCCTCCTTGGGTTTCCAAGGCAGTATCACTACAGAAGTAGATTGCCCCATCTTCCTTCCGAGGAGTGGCTGATGGGTTTGAACCGCCAGCCTTCTGGTTAGCAGTCAAGTGCCTTATGCACTACACCACCAGAGCTCCCTGTATGTGTTATAGGGATGTCCATGTATATAACAGAGCTAACAAGGGGCAAAGTTAGGATAACTTCTTAGGCACAGACAACCACCCTGAGGGAGTGAGTAGTTGGGCCTGCAGGCTTGGGACCACGGTGGCACGGGAAATCAAGCTCAACTGGCATAACATACTACACAAAAACGTTCTACATCCTACTTTGGTGAGCAGCAACTGGGGTCTGAAAAGCTTCAAGTGCCCATCCAGATGCAATAACCGGTCTCTCCTCACCCAGAGCAAAGAAGAATGAAGAAAACGAAAGATGCATGGAAGGAAGTGGTCCAAGGGACTTGTGGAGCATGTGAACCTCAGCCTATATGACCCTGAGATCAAAACTGGATGGTATCTGGCTACCACTGTCAGCCACCTGGAAAGGGATCAGTGTAGGAGATAGAATGGGAGAAAAATGTGGAACGAAATTCTACTCCAGGGTTACTGCTCTGATACAGCCTGATGAGACCCCCCGAGACTATGGCCCCTAGTTATCCGTCAGGCCTAGAACTGAACTCTCTCCTGTGGCTTCCAGCCGAACAACAGACAGGCCTATGGGGTGAACATTGACATCAGAGAGATACTCCCTGGAGCAATCAATCATGAGAGAACAGAAGGGCAATGTTTGCACAGGGAGACAGCCCAAGGGGTAGGAATGCATAGGAAAGGACACAGGGAAGAGGTAACCACAGGGAGGAAGTGGGAAAAGAGCTGTTACACTGTGGGGAATTGCAGTCAATGTCATGAAACAAAACGTGTATCAACTGCTGTCTGCCAAATGAATTTACTCTGTAAACTTTCACTAAAATCAAAATCAAAATTAAAAAAAAAAAAAAACAAGAGTAGACTGGTCTGAAGTGGAGAGTCATGTGGACTCCCAAGTTTGCAGCCAGTCCCCACTGACCCAGCCCCAGGCAGCCGGGGATGACAGAGAAAGGCTGTGTGGGCAGTTGCTATCTGAAACGAACAGGGAGGGGAAGCTGTATTTCCACGGGGCACAGGTGGCACGTGGAGTAGGATTTTTCATCAGCCACACACACAGTCTGGCCAGGCAGTGCTTTGTTCTGTTGTACACACAGGTTGCTGTGAGTTGGAACTGACTCTTCAGCACGTAACACCTAACACACACAATCCGGCATCAGAAGTCAGTGACCTCAGTCCCCCTGGATTGGTTCACACATAAGGAACAGAGGGCTTTCTGGCACAGGGCACAGCTTGGGCAAAGGCCAAAGGTGGGCACAACTGGGACAGTTCACTCGACCTACTTTTCACATGTCCCTCGTGCCTGCTCAAGACAAGGAAGTCTGATTCCTCTTTGTGTCTTGGCCAGTTCCCCAAATCAAGCATCAAACCAAAAATCCAAACCCACTGCCACTGAGTTGATTACGACTGATAGTGACCCCTAAAGGGTTTCCAAGGCTGTTAATCTTTATGGAAGCAAACTGCCTCATCTTTCTCCCGTGGAACAGCTGGTGGGTTCGAACCACTGACTCTCTGGTTAACAGCCCGATGCCTTAACCACAGCACTGCCAGAGCTCCTTAAACCAAGCACAGTGCCTAGAATGCAACAAGCCACACTGCTCTGAGGAAGAAGAGCTGAACTAAGAGCGAGCAGAGGGAGGGGAAGAAAAGCAGGGGTGCCAGAGAGGAACTGCGGCTTGGACCCAGCAGCACTGACCACCAGGTCGCGGGGACACTGTTCGCAAGGGAAGCCACATGCAGCTTAGGCTAAGGGAAGGAGATGTGAAGACAACGGCCGAGGTGTGTAAA